CCTGTTCTGCTCCCCACTCTGTCTCTGGTGAAGTCTCTCACTGCCCCTGAGTCTCTGGCCTGTACTCCAGTTCTGTATGTACAAATAAATAAATCTTAAAAAAAAAAAAAATGCTCTGGTATAGGATATTCTGAGTACGGAAAATTCCTCTAGACTGAGAGATCATAAAAGTCCTCTCTGGGAAAGGAGGCACAGTCCCAAAAGTAGGCACATGGGGTAGCAGGTGGTAGGAAAGTTGTTCCCTAAAATGGGAAGTTGTCTGGTTAAGTCCACCTGAGGAAAGAAGAAAAAACTCTGATTGCTTAGTTTGTCAAACTAAGATCAAGACTCATCAGAGGAGCATAACATCAAGTTAGATTACAACCAGCACTACTAAAAAATGAAATGAAACAACAGAAAATATCAAAGTATATTACATGAAGTAAGAATATCTTCCTTTGAAATGTTTCAGCTATTTTTGTGTCAGTGAGGGGTGGTAATAGAAGTAATTTTTATAGCAGGCCTAGATCACAGAATTGGAGAAGACAGGTTCAGGATGAGTCTGAAAAGAATGCAGTTTATTCTGGTCTTGCAGATCATGGTTAAGATTTATTTTTCTTTTTAATCTATTCCAATGACAGTGGAAAATCAATGAAAGGAGGAATGGGAATTTAAAAAATTGCTTTGGCTATATAATATGCTAAAAAAAAAAAGACTGACATAAAAACACATTTTGGGGATAGTAATTAGAATTCCATTGAACTAATTTAAGTAGGAGATAAGGGAACTGTTTCACCTAACAAGAGGAAGGTCACTGGTTGAAAACCTGGAAGAATTGTAAGTTTATTCACAAGTATGTTAACTTCAATTAAGGACTCTTACCATCTAAATCAATGTTTACTGCATAGAACTGTGTTTAGTAAACATTTGTTCTATGAATGGTAACAGCTTAGAATAGGGTAGTGGCACTGAAATGAAGACAGTAAGAATTACAGAATTAAAATGAGTAGGCCTTACTGATTAAAATGTAGAATAAGAAAAAATAAGTATTAAGGAAAACGCCAGGACTTCTAACTTGACTGTATAGTCTGTGGTTCCCCCCACCTTTTTTAAATATAAATAATACTGAAGGTATTTTTAACTTTTAAATCGACAACTATAACCCTTCAAGCTCAGGAGGTATCTTGTAACTAATTCTGTGCAAACTTCCTGATTTAATGAACTCCATCTTTATCTTCAAAAGATTAAATTCTAAAGATTAAGTCTGTCAAATAAAGAGATTAAATCTTCCTTAAAATAACCTTTCACTATTTTACTGCCTCTTCTTGGATCTCTGCTAGTTGTATTTCCGTCACCATTTGAAGTGATGGTGCAGCAAATGTTGTACCAAAAAAAACTGCTACCTACATTTCGCAACTTCAGTGAAAGTCATTACAACATTCTCACCCTTGAAACAATAATTCACAAACTTCAAATTTTGCACCAATCGGGGCCCTCCCAGGTGGCACAACGGGTTAAAACGCAGCACTATGAGGTTATCCACAGCCACTGCAACACGAGTTCAATTCCAGGCCAGGGAGGTGACCCACACGGCTCAGCAGACTTCTGACCTGCCCACTGCTCCCCTCAGCAGTGTATTTCAGTACATCTGCCTGTTCTCTCCCCACTGTCTCTGATGAATCCTCTCACTGCCCTGCACCTCTGGCCTGTGCCCCAGTTATGTATGCATAAATAAATATTAAAAAAAAATTCCACCAAGAAATGCTGTAAAGGTAATTAAATTTGTCCCATGAGGCACAAAGACTTGAAAGACCTTTTAAGACAACCACGATAACATTAGGACACTTTAGTGTTCAAAACTGCATTATCCTGTAACAGACCTGAACTATTCAGGGAGAAACATTCAACTGTTTCTTGAAATTTTCAAATTCTTGAAATCTTCTCGTCATCGTCTTTTCCTAAAAACTTCACAAGAACGTACAATTTCATTCATTCTGTGTCTAAGGGCTTGAGAGTGCGCTCCCCGGCCCTCTCGCCCAGTCAGACCTCACTCTGTAGGAACAATAACTAAACCACCGTGAGTGCCAGGTACCCCTAAACAGACCTTTCGCCCTTCTCCCAGCCAGGCCGCCGACAGGACCGGGGCAGAGCAGCCACCAGGGTAGCGACCCGGAGGCCTACCAAGCTGGCACTGAGCAAGTATTTTTCTCCAGGTCCACCTGGAAAGGGCGGGCGGGCGGGCGATTCCCTGGATGCCAAGCAGGCAGAACCCGAGCGACAGGACAAGGAAGCGCAATTACCTGGACGTCCCAGTCCCGAAAGAAAAACCGCCGCCAGTGCCGGTCCCGCCGGCGGCCACAGTGGTGGAGCCCAGTGTGCTGGTCCCGAAGGAGAAGCCCGTGGACATGGCTGCCTAGAGCTCAGCGCCTACTGCAACCTGAAAGGGGTCTGGGACGTTTCTTCCGTCTCAAAGTGGAAGAACGCTGGGAAGCATTGCTGTTGTCCGGCCCGCACCTGGCGGGAACTTCAAGCCCCAGTGGCAGAGAAGACAAGGCCAGAGGGGGTGGAGCAACCACGCGAGAACACGTTCCGGTGCTCACCGAGTACGCGCACGCAGCCGGCCGGGAGCGAGCCCGTCGCGCCAGGAACCCTGGGAAAGGGGTGGGGCCGGTGCGCAGCGGCGGTACCCTGGGACTGGGCGGGCTGGGTGCTCCGCCCACTTTTATAAGTGGAGGCAGACGCCCAGTTCAAAAGTGACTGAGTCCAGCCATTTCTGCCTTACGATAATAGGTTGGCGACCGTGGTGGTGTTATTTGTACTTTATGACTGTTGAATCTCAAATGTTGTTTATTTTCTTTATAGTACCCAAAGGATTGCAGAATCCTCGTGTTGGGGAGGACCCATTATGCATTTCACTCTCCTCTTACAAAAAAAAAAGCCATTTCCGTTTTTCCGGTTAAAAACGGAGAGTGCATAAGTGCATCTTCTTCCTGAAGGTTCATTGAAATCAATAATAATTTCTGTATCTGTTCAAAGACGAGAGTACTACTTCAGGGCCCCACGGCTGGTGGAGCCAGTTTAGCAAGCGCATCTGAAGCCTGACCCCATGGGAGCTCAGAAGAGTGGCCTTTCCTTATTGGGGTAACCAGCCCTGTGGTGATAAGCAAACAGAACTAACCACCTTGAATGTCAGAGTAGATGTCAAACACAAATAGTGGCAGTGTGTCCTGCTAGGTAAGAGTGTGGGACCTAGGGGCGAGCTTATGTGGTCCTGTCTGGACAGCTGCCTCTGCTTCCCAGTAAAGGAAGAGCAAAATGGAAGAGGTAAGAAAAATACAGAAACACTATAAGGCGAAATGTAAAGGTTCCAAGTGCAATCCTTTAGCAGAAAAATGTGGATTAAAAGGATTCCCCCGTGTCCTCCCTGGTGGCACAACAGATGAAGCGCAGCTCTATAAGCTATCCCCAACCAATACAGCACAAGTTCAATCCCCAGACAGGGTGCTGACCCACAAGGCATAGCAGACTTCTCCTGTCTCACCTGCTGCTCCCCTCAGCAGTTTATTTTAGTACATTGTTCAGCTCCCCACTCTTTCTCTAGTGAATCCTCTCTCTCTCTCTCACACACACACACACCTCTGGCCTCTACCCGTTTTTGTATGCATTAATAAATCTTTAAAAAATAAAGATTCCCCTCTGGCATCAAGATCAAGAAAGGCTTCTGGTGGTAGTGCATTGAGGTGCAGTGATCATATTGTAGGTCTTTATTTTTTCCATCAGTAATTGTCACATTACTCCTGCAAACCTGCTATTCAATAAAATTCATCCCATAAGCAAATACCAGATTTGCTCTCTTAAATTAAAATTCTGAACAGACCAACGCCTTGATTAAACACCAGTGGCTCTGTAGTCTAGTATGGAATGCCCTTATGGCCAGTATTTCTAACTTCAACATCTCCCATCTCCATTTAATGCAAGCAGGTTTTCCTGTATTCAGCTTGAGCATTGTGACCCACATTCCTATATTGAAATTCTAACTCTTTGTGATACTCCTTGGAGTAGGACTTTGTGGGAGGTAATTAGATTTAAATGGAAATATGAAGGTGGGACTCTAAGGATGGCATTAGTTGCCTGATAAAAAAAAGAATGAGAACTCCAAGAACTCCCTCTCCCTGTTTATCCATCTGTGAGGCCACAGCCACTAGGCAGCCCTCTGAAAGCCAGGAAGAAAGCCCATGGACACCTTGGTCTTAGGCTTCTCAGCCTTTGGAATGAGAAATGAATTTGTTATTTATGTCATCCAGAATGTGGTGTTTTACTTTGGCAATATGAGCAGGCTAATACATGTATATAATTTTTAAATTGTAACATTTAAAATAACATCTTAGTATTATGAGCAACATTTAAAATATTATAACAATCACGATGGAAATGATAAAAAAAGTTAAGAGAGGTAATTGAACTTAATATAAAGGAAAAATTCATAGTGGTTAAACGGAGGAGAAAAAATATTCTGGGTTTTAGAGCTTCAATAACCTAGAGAATGCTATTAGCATGGTTAATAAGAGAACTAAGAGTACAAAATCTAAGGTACTTTGACTGGAAAAAAGAGGTCTAGGTTATTTTTGAGAAAGAGAGCAACTCCCTACACTTTAAAATTTTACTGTGTGCTTTCTAAAACTTTTTTTTTT